AAAGCCATATCGAGTGGTCTTGAGAGGCCTGCACTCAACCACCTATACCCGTTATCAAGTCTGGCCTAGAAGAAATAGGGAAAAACGTAAGGCACATATCTTGGGTGCTACACTCAACGCAGAAATATCCGTTACCTTATTCTTCGTTGATTTAGAGCCTGCTAATAACAACCCCGAGATATTTCAAGTTAACCGGCTTATATATTCAACAGTTAAATTTGAAGAGCCTAGACATAAACCAGTGATAGTGCAATGTACTAAGTGTCAAGAACTGGGTCACACAAAGACCTATTGCCATCATCAGGCCAGGTACGTAAAATGTGCAGAGTTACGCGCATCTGACACTTGTCAGAAACCTCTAAACCAGCCTCCTAAATATGCTCTATGCGGCGAAGACCATCTGGCAAGCTACAAAGGATGCATAGTCTACAAAAATCATTACAAGCTGAGATCACGGAACACAGCCTTAAAATGTATAATAAAAGTTACATCCAGCCACCATAAATTGAAAATATTTCAAATTTCCCTGAATTACTGAAAAAAATGACTAATGTTAGCCATCAAGAATCGTCTACTTCATCTGGCATCGACCATCCTCATCAGGACTCCAGCAAATCGTACACCGAAACCACCATCAAGAAGCAGCAGCCTCAACGCCAGACGCCTCACATCTCCCAATCCAAACCTCATACTCCCAATCCTCAATCTCATCCTCCGAATCTGCAAATCCCCCCTCATCATCTACCGTTACGAGTTAAATTACCGCAAGAAGCACCAGTACCGTCGAATCCAGACACACCTCGGACACGACGGATCCCACCATCAGTTAACACTCCTTACCCAACACAAGAATCTATCCTAAATCCAATTCACAACCAAAATCCATCTGACATAACTTCCATACTATCGTCCTTCCTATTGGACCTCCAAAACACTATAAAACCTCTTATCACTCTACTGACCAGAATCCTGACCGAAATTCCGTTTAATTTCCCTCAATGAGCACAAAGCCCCTAACTATCCTTTTATGTAATGCTAACGGACTGCACAACCACTGAGACGAACTTGACACATTTCTTCATGACATACGCATTGACATTGCACTACTGACTGAAACTCATTTCACTAAACGGACATATTTTCACATACGAGACTACATCACTTATAGATCTAACCACCCAGACAACATTTCCCATGCCAGTTCTTGCATTCTTATACATAAATCTTTACCCCATTCCCTTATTCCTTCCACTCCAACTGATGCCATTCAATCAACATCTGTAATCATTTCAACTCGCCCTTTCCATATCACATTCTCAGCAGTCTACTGTTCTCCTGGTAATTCCCTCTTCTATAACCTCCTTGATTTCTTGTTCCAATCCCTCGGATCACGCTTTATTGCTGGAGGAGATTACAATGCTAAACACCAAAGATGGGATTGTCGAACATCCAACTCCCACAGTAACATACTTTCACGTGACTCATCTTCCAACAACAGTTATTCAATCCTCTCACCCATAAATCCAACATATTGGCCAACATCCCTCAAAAATTGTCCCGATATCCTGGATATATTTATTACCTCCCAGGTTCCCCCTCCCAAACCATAATCAATTCCCTGGATGACCTTTCCTCAGACCACAGTCCATTTCTGCTTTCATTACATTCAAACTTTGCTCCTAAACCATCACCTCCTAAATTGATTACAGGCCGAGTAAACTGGGACAAATTTCGTGATGATTTGGAAAACAAACTATACCTAAAAATTCAGCTAAAGACAAAAGAAGACATTCATAGTGCCATAGAAAAACTGACATCATCAATAACAGACAATATAAATAATAAAACCTTTATCAATAAGATTAAAAATTCACAAAAGACAAACTTGCCACAGCATATTCGTATCTTATTATAGGAAAAACGTAGAGCAAGATTGAAGTGGCATAGAACTAGGTATCCGACAAGTAAAGCTCATTACACCCAACTGACTAACAAACTAAAATCAGAAATAAGAAAATACAAGATTCAAAATTTACTGAAAAACTTACACCTAACGACAAATTACTATGGATGACCACTAAAAAGATCCTGAAATTTAAAAACTGTAATCATCAACTTCTTACCGAAGCCCAAACCTGGTCCAAATCCAACGAAGAAAAATCCCTAATATTAGCTCACCACCTCTTCAAAACCTTTAGTCCACATCCCGAAATTCTTAACCCAAATCATCTTGAATGTATTGAAGCAGAACTGGATATTTCCCTCCAAATTGCTCTTCCACCTAAAGCCTATCACCCTTCAGAAATATCTAATATCATTCACAGATTACCTTCCTGTAGAGCTCCTAGACACGACCTAATAACATCTCAGATCCTAAAACTACTTCTTCAGAAAGCTATTCAATTCCTTACTTATATATAAAATGCTGTACTCCGATCCACATATTTCCCTGACCCTCGGAAACTTTTTATTATCAAAATGATACACAAACCCAAAAAGCCACCACAATACCCATCTTCTTGCCGTCCTATCTCCCCTTTACCCATCATGGGCAAAATCCTGGAAAAACTCATCCTAAAACATCTGTATCTCATCCTAGATTCGAATCACACAATCCCAGATCAACAATTTGGATTCCGTAGATCCCACTCCAGCAATGCCATCGTGTGGTGGATGTTATCTCCTCTTCATTGGAGCGTGGAATGTACTGTACGGGAGTCTTTCTCGATGTAGAACAGGCTTTTGATCAAGTCTGGCACCCAGGACTGCTTAACAAACTCCGTAAATTCCTAGATCCTACATATTTCCTCATTATTCATTCCTACTTAACAGATAGATGCTTCAAAGTAAATCAAAATAATGCTTATTCATCCCTCTTTTCCCAATCTGCTGGTGCTCCTCAAGGTAGAATCCTAGGTCCTGTCCTTTACACAGTTTATATAGCTGACAACCCAACCCATCCCAACACTGTCATCACTACGTATGCCGATGACACATGTGTCCTATCAGTTAATAATGATCCAATAATTGCATCCCAAACTCTCCAATCACACATCACAAACCTCGAAGAATGGTGTCAAAATTGGAGGATTAAAATAAATCCCGTCAAATCACCTTTACCCTTCGTCGTAAACCTATGACTCCTTGTCCTACAGTATCCTTTAATAATACCCTGCTTATCCCTGTTGAACAAATCAGGTACCTCAGACTCCACTTGGACAAACGTCTAACTTGGAATCCTCATTCCAGACTTAAACGACAAGAAACCGTTTGAAGTTTCCGACTACTCCAGCACTTACTAGACAAACGCTCTAAGCTTCCAGTTAATTACAAAAGACTCATATATATGACTACAATAAGACCTATCTGGACATACGGAGTTGAGATTTGGGGGTCCACAAAGCCATCAAATTCCTCACGCATCCAATCCTTACAATCCAAAATCCTTCATAAATGTCTTCCTCAATGCTCCTTACTTTGTCACTAATAAAATCATCCATAAAGACCTTAATGTTATTTATGTTTCCGAATTGGCCCAATCCAGATACCTATCCTTCCATAATAAACTACAGAACCATCCGAACCCTCTCGTTTCTGACCTTGCTTCCTATTCGATCCCTGAATACCGTCCGAGGCGTCTGAAAAGAAGATGGCCTCGAGATCTTCTATTGTAAATACATTTTTTTTTTAGAGTGCTACCAGTGGGTAGTTTCTTAACAAGTGTTTTCATGTTTTTATTTTCTGTCATCACATTTACTTAATGTATTCTTTCTTAATACAGTTGTAAATATCATAAATAAAAAAAATATAAATTGAGGAAAAAAATATAAATTTAAATCTTGAATTGAGAGATTATAGAATATAAATATACAATTAACATTAATCTGTATGGCATAAATTATAATGTTATATACTAAAAAAAGGTAACAAAAGAAATATTTCCTTCAGAACAAAATTAATAATAATAGAAAAAAACAAAAATTGGTGTAGGGAAGTGGCGATCCCACCGCCCGGTCATTGTACTACAGTCAGCCACTGGCCCTCCAGGTTGGGGGAACAGTACACTCACACACATACAGTACACAATCACAGCACACTCTACACAAGGATACATACAATATACACCCTAGGGCCACCTTCCCTAGGATAGAGATGCAGGTCTGCATGCATTGAGATGGCATCCCCTTCAGCAGACTAGGGTACGGAGAGAGGGTGGATAGCCCCACTACCTGAAACATAAATTATCATGAAACCCATACCAGCCTCGGATGTGATCAGTTTTAAAGGAAAACGACCCGGCACCCCCATAGGATTCCTAACTTGGAATATTGGAATACATCATCTCTGTATAGACCCGGAGCATTAAAATTGCTCTTAGATCAACTTGACAAATACAAAATTGACATAGGCGCTATCCAGGAGATCAGATGGACTGTTCAAGGAATTCTTGAAAAAAGGCACCACTCCATCTACAACAGCTGGCATGAGAGTCGGCATGAATTCGGTACAGGATTTGTCATAAAGGGAAAGTATAGACAGATGATAATAGGGTTCGAGCCAGTGAGCCCAAGAATCTGTCTCATAAGAATGAGTGGAAAGTTTTACAATTATAGTCTCCTAAGTGTACATGCTCCTACAGAAGTGCCTAGTGAAGAAGACAAGGATGCCTTCTATTAACTTTTGGAAAGAACTCTGGATGCATGCCCTAGTTATGAAATGAAAATAATTGCTACAGATTTCAATGCCAAGCTGGGAAAAGAAGCAATATACCAGCGGATAATGGACAAAGGCTCATTAATTTCGTAGAGTCCAGGAACCTAGTTGTAGGGAGTACTCACTCTGTATCCGCACAAGAATATTCACAAAGGCACAAGGACGTCACCCGACCGATCAGTTGTCAACCAGATTGACCATATTCTAATAGGAAGACGCCATAGAAGCAGTTTACAAAATATGAGAACCACAGAAATTCGGACCACTTTCTGAGCATAGCACATGTGATGGCGAGGATCTGCTCAGTGAGGAATTTGAAAGCTTCCGAGAAAACCGTAAGTTTCAACCTTAAGAAGCTAAAGGAAGTACAGACTCATTATATCTATGCTGAAATATTAGACACAAAATTATGCCTGGGAGGCTATGATACTGGCCAGGACATTGAAAAGTTCTGGTCGGACTGTTGTAAAGCGATAATGGAAGTGGCTGAAGAAGTGCTAGGATCATACGAGAAAGAACCAAGGTCATCCTGGTTTGAGGAATGAAGAGCAGCCACAAACATGAAGAACGTTGCATATGAAGCAATGATTAGGACAACTACAAGGAGGTCTGTTGATGAATACCAACAAAGAAGGAAAGAAGAGAAATGTTTACATCGCCAAAAGAAACTACAGAAGGAGAGAGAGGAGATAGAAAATTACACTAATTAGACTGTTACACCGTAACAAAGAAATTAGAGATTTCTTCAGAATGGTAAACAAGGGTTGAAAGCAATATATTAATAAATTAAAATCCTGTAGGGATAAAAGAAGGTAACCTGATGACCAATATGTCGGATGTTCTTGGTGAATGGAGGAATTACTTCAATAATCTTCTCAACTCAAGTGAAGAAGATACCTGTGATGAAGTAAGAAATCAACAGAATACAGATGGGAGAACAAGAGATAGATCTTGAACCGCCTTATGAAGATGAGGTTGCAGATGCCATAAAAAAATTCAAAAATAATAAGGCTCCTGGTGCTAACGCACTCACTGCTGAACTTTTAAAATGGGGTGGAAACAAGCTTACCAAAGCTCTACAGGATCTCCTCCTTGTGATATGGACTGAAGAGGTAATGCCCTCTGACTGGAATAGGTCAATTATCTTTCCTATACATAAAAAGGGTGATAGGTTGCTGTGAAATGAAATGAAATGAAAAAAATGAAAAAAAATGTTTTATTATTCTGGGACTGTTGTCCCTTAAGAACAAAATATGAATACAGATTATATGTCTGTGTGGCTACAATTAAATTGTATATTTACAATGAAAGTTGACTTACGATAAAAATACAGAAAAGAGAAAAAAAAGAACAAGTAAATTGTACATATGTATGAGAAACTAAAATAACCTTAATAAATTGAGGTAGTCTCTGGTGGTGCTCAGATATTTCTCTAAGATATATTTCACAATCATTCGGATTGAGAAAGGAGTAGGTGCTTAAAGAGGAGTGGTTTAAACGAGGAAACTGATTGAGCGTGTCGAATATCAGCTGGTATGGAATTCCAGAGGGAGGCGGCTTGTATTGCAAAGGATTTGTCAAACGCAGCAGTTCGGTGAGGAGGAGGATAGAGGTCGGAAGTACGAGATCTGGTGGGACGGGATTGGATGGAATATTTGAATTGTAAGCTGTGAAAAATATAGGAGGGTCGATGGGTTCTAATAATTTGGTACAGAAAGGTGGCTAGGAAGTACTGACGGCGATAGGATGGGTAGAGCCACCTCAACTCAGTGTAATACTGGGTAATATGCGTATCCCTTGAGATTCCGAAAACAAATCGTAGTGCGCAATTCATTAGGCGTTTAAGTTTGGCCTCGGAATCTCCCGGGAGTCCACCGTACACCATACAGCCATAGTCGAAGTGGGGGAAAACAAGGGAGGAAACTAGGAGTTGACGGGACTTATATGGAAGGAGATATCGTAGACGATTGAACTGTTTTAGGGTGGAGATAGTGCGACGGGAAATTTGGGAGATGTGAGGTTTCCAGGATAGGGATTGATCGAAAGTAACACCTAGGTTTTTAACGGTGGTGTAGAATAAGATAGGTGAGTTGTTCAGGAAGAGATTGGGAGATACCGGGGAGGATTTGAGGAGTGAAGGGGATCCGATCAAGATGGCTTTTGTCTTCTCGGCGTTCAGAGTGAGCCTATTGAGGTTTGCCCAAGCACTTATTCTGTCAATATCTTCCTGAAGTTTTTGAGTGGCATCTGAGATATCTGTCGGATTAAAGGAGAGGTAAATTTGAATGTCGTCGGCATACAGGTGGTAATGACAGTGCAGGATAGAGGATGGGAGGTCATTTATATAGATGGAGAAAAGGGTGGGGGATAAGGAAGAGCCTTGTGGGACGCCTCTGGTCAGAGGTAGAGATTCTGATGGTGGGTTATTAGGAATTACAACGTACTGGGAGCGACCGGTTAGGAAGGATTGGAACCAATTAAGGGAACTAGAAGAAAAAGAGATATTTTTAAGTTTGGTTAGGAGGATGTTGTGGTCTACTGAATCAAAAGCTTTGGAGAAGTCTAGGAGAATAAGGATGGTTAGTTTCTGCTGATCTATGGCTGTGTGAAGGTCTTGGGAAATTTTGATTAGGGCAGACTGAGTAGAATAACCAGGCCTGAATCCAGACTGGTAGGGATTTAGGAGATTATTGTCCTCTAAAAAATGGGATAGCTGGGATTGGACTAACCGCTCTAATGGTTTTGAGAGGTTTGAAAGGAGGGAAATCGGTCGGAAATCATTAGGAACTGATGGGTTTGAAGTCTTCTTCAATGGGCGTACTAGGGCGGTTTTCCAGGATGTAGGGAAGGTAGCATTTTGAAGAGAATAATTATATATATGATAAAGGATCGGAAGAATGGATGGCAATGCGGCTTTAATCAGTCTGACTGGGATGTTGTCGGGACCGTAATCATTGGTATGGGACTTCTGAATGGATTTAAGGAGCTCATCTGGTGTAATATGGGAAAGAAAGAAGTGATCAGGATTAAAGGAGGAGAACATAGGAGCCAGACTGGACGTGGAAGATGTGGATGCAAGAGGACAGGAGACAAAGTGAGCGTTGAGGTTATCAGCAGAAACGGAATTGGACTGAGACTGGGGTGTATTACCAATGGTCAGTTTTCTAAGAATAGCCCACGTAGCCTTGGTATTGGGAGAGTTGGATAGGGAATGATGGTAGTAACGGGATTTAGCGCGGCGTACTGCTGATTGAGTGCTATTTCGAAGCTGTTTGTAGGAGAGAAAATCATCAGGAAGTTGAGTTCGTTTAAACCATCGCCTTGCAGCATCTCTTTCTCTCATACACTCCCTCAAAGCAGGGGTAAGCCAAGGAGCTGGAGGATATCGGATGGTTTTTGTGATAAGAGGAGCATGTCGGTCGAGGATAGAGTGAAGTTGAGTGGTAAGGATTTCTACCATGGTGTCTATGGATTTTGAGGAGTAGATGGGATCCCACTGGATATCGTCAAGACCTTCTGACAATGTTTCGTGAGTGAGATAATCTAGGTTTCGGAAGGATATTGTTCGGGGAGAAAAGGATGGAACAGGGACATTGTAAGAGATCTGGACAAGATCGTGGGAAGATAGAAACGGAACCGGGTGCTGAGATGCGGCAAGGAGTTTGTCTGAGGAATCCAGGATAATTAGATCGAGCCAGGACTCTGAATACTGAGTATGATGGATACTGTGCAGCAATTATCGAGGTATCTCGCTGCTGTCTTGCGCCTATAAGATACTATCTCATATTCTGTTTGGACGTCTTTTGCCATATGCTGAACATGAGCTCGGTCTGTACCAGAGTGGGTTTAAGAAAGGAAGATCCACCACTGACCAAATGTTCTGTGTGCGAACCATTCTTGAAAGAGGCCATGAGTATAAAACCAAAACTCATCATCTTTTCATCAATTTCAGGGCAACGTATGACAGCATAATACACGAAGAACTGTACAGTGCTCTCAGAGAATTTAATGTAACTGAGAAACTTATTCATTTGATAAAGCTTACCATGAAGGATGTGAGATGTATGGTTAGAGTGAATGGTGACATACCAGAAGATTTTCGCGCAGGTAAAGGACTTCGAAAAGGGGATGTGCTGGCCTCTATGTTGTTTAACCTAGCACTTGAGAAAGCCATGAGAGATGCTTGTTTACACAAACATTTTCACCAAACTTGTCCAACTGTGGGCCTATGCAGATGATATAGACATTGTGGGACATTCCTTGCAGGCCGTGACTGATGCTTTTCCGGCACTGATGGGTCCAGGAGACTGGGACTGGAAGTTAATGAGTCCAAATCGAAACAGAAGAAATGGTAACAGAAGAAATTCCCATGCCAGGCGAGACAGTCACTATTGGGCCTCATAAATTTGAGAAGGTTTCGGAGTTCACTTATCTGAGATCTGTAGTCACTCAGGATAATAACCCTGATATTGAGATAAGAAGAAGGATCATAGCGGCCAACAAGTGCTACTTTGGATTGAGCAAGCAGCTAAGCAGGCGGGTGTTTTCCAGACAAACCAAGCTCCACCTCTACAAGACATTGGTGCGTACTTCTTTATGGATCGTAGTGCTGGACAACTTTGAAGGCCACTGAAAAGGAACGCCTTATTTTTGAAAGAAAAGTTCTCCGCCTTGTTCTTGGGGAGTGAAAGTTGGAGAGGAGTGGAAGTGACGAATGAAAGCAATGAAGCAGAGGCGCTTAAGATATGCGGGACATATTGCCAGAATGGTGGATGGAGAAATACCCAAAATATTGCTTGCATAGCCTATCTATGGAACAAAAAAAAGAGGGAGACAAAGGCTGATACGGTCAGATGGTGTGGCGGGAGACGCCCGCAGTATACTGGGAGTTAAGAACTGGATGGCATCGAAGCAAGAACATGACGATTAGAGGAAACAGTTAGAGGAGGTCAAGACCTGTAACCAGGTTGTAGTGCCATGAAATAAAACAAAAAAAAAATTAAACATTATTTAGGAAAACAAATTAAAATGCTGATAATATAATATTTGGTATCAAAAGGATTATTAACAATAAAGGGTCTATTTTTTTTCGTGTAATAAAAATTGGAAGAGATGTTCTCAAACAAATTGTTAAGGAAGGTCTAGACTTTGATAAAGTTACTAAATTGGTAATGGCGGAGTTCCATTATAAAATTATTGAGCTAAAAAAAAATTAATAAATAAAGTAACCAGGATTGGATATATGGAGATGGTGGGGCTTGTTATTCAGCTGGCAGCAGATGATAGTAGAGATCAACAGTATCGAGGACTCGAAGGTGAGAAGAAAAAGGGCAGTCGATCTCTTATGAAAATGCAATAGGTTGGAAGTTGATATGCAAAGTGTTGTTTTATTAATATAAAGAAAAAAATCTTTTAAAGTTTAGAAATACCAGGTCCTAAATACTAGATATTTACTAAAATATAAACTTTACAGTAATTATGTACTATGACATCACTCAAAATTTTCTTCAGCGCAGGACAACCATTTTACTTTGCTTATTTTGTTAGGAAAAGGATTAAACTTAAAAAGCTTTAATTTTCTGTGAGAAATTAAAAAATAAGCTTGATATTTGTAATATAGTCAATGATATCAAAGAATTCATTTTTAAAAAATTGATCTGTTATATGCAATCTCAATCTACACAATTTTTCATACAATTACAGGTTGATAATTATATTACTAAAATATTAAAAAAAATGTAAATATTAACAAGTCATTGCACATTTTTAAAATCATGATTTAAAATAAAAATGTTAAACTCTAACTATCCGATATAAAATTATAAGCTATAGTCTCTTTTAAGACTTGTCATTATGATAAAATATTTTGGTTTGGTTTGAACTAGGCAACTATTCGCAGATCTAGTTGATCTATTCCTGATTTATTAGGATAGAATTTGAAAAAAAATACTCAAACATTATATAAATATGCATATTTCTTTAAAATAATATATTAGCTATAATAGCATTAGCCAAAAACAAATGGGATCATTAAATTTTCTTATTTAAAAGTAATTGCTTTAAAATTAAAAATTTAACTTTTTAATAATTGAAAAATAACAAAAATTAATTGTGTCAAACAATTTAAAAGACCTATTTGAATTACATTTTTATTAAATTCCATTACGTGTATACTAATCTCATTTGTAAGCAGTTGGATAGCTCAGTGAGTAAGACACTGTGTTTCTATCTGTTGAGCTTGAGTTTGAGGCCAGCTGTGGCAGAAAATTATTTTATATGTTATGTCACATGCGGATCCCCCCTGGGGTCAAGATGCCTTTCCGGTGCTCTCCTATGCTCTATAAATTGGAAACCCTTGATTGGGGGCAAATACCTGGTAATTGAGTGTAATTCTGAACAAATAATTTTCTTATACAAACATTGGCTTGTAAAAGGTAGCTCCTTACCAAGTGCTGAACCCCCCCCCCCTCTGTATCCAAGACCCTTTATAGGTTGTAGAGGTACAGTTTTTTTTTTATTCTCATTTATACCACATAAATTTTTATTAATATTCTATAATTGTACTTAAATTGTTAATGGATAAAAAACTAAGTTAAGTATAATTAGTTTTATATTGAAGTTTATATTTTCAAACCTTGAGATTAATTACCTTGTCATCTGAATTTCCTTCTGTACAACCATTTTTAGCAAGTTTTTCAGTTTTGGCAGCTGAAGTCTGTTTTGTAATACAATGATATGGCTCAAAAACAACATAATCTGACCTAACCTCAGTCATTGCTCTTACAGGTAGTCCTTTTCTACGAGGTTTGTCAACAGTTAAGTTATTAGTATCAGATATCTCTGAAAAGGCTTCTGAATGTTCACTGGCTCTTCGAGGTCTTGCAAGATCAGGAAGAAATTCAAGATCTGAACGACTATGTATTGCCATGAAACGATGTATAACTCCCAATGTTTTAGTTGTTTGTTCTGCAATTTCTTCCAGTTTTCGGAGACGAAAATCAACTGACTAAAAGAAAAAATGTATGTATTTACTATAAACAGACAGGCTAATTATGTAAATAAATTAATCAATCTTATTATATGATACAAGTTTGCTAAATATTTTTTTTAAAAACCTCAACTGGTCAATGATCTTGCCTAATCCTTAATAAACATTGCCAAAATACTTACTTACTTACTTACTTCTTAATTAATTAATTAATTAAGTAAGTAAATATAAAATACTAACAGTGCTGGCCTTAGACATTCCTGTCTCTGGAAGATGCTTCTAGGGTTCTTGGCCTTGTTAATGAGGCCAAGACAAAATACATGCGGATTGGATGAGTAGAATCAGGAGTTGGATATTTTGATACAGGAGAGTACTGTTTTCAGAAGGTACCCAGTTTCACCTGCTTGTGTTCGGAAATCAACTCTCAAAATGACATTACCCTGGAAGTAAACAGGAGGATTACAGCAGCTAACCTTTGCTACTTTGGCCTTGCCAAACACATTAGAAGTAGAATGTTTTCTAACCGGACCAAGATCAATCTCTATAAGACCCTAGTCCGCCCAGTCGTCACTTATGGCTCAGAGGCTTAAGCATTCATGAAGCCAGATGAGTCTAAGCTTCTTGTCTTCGAGAGGAGCATTCTTAGATGGATTTTCGGTCCTGGGCCCATGGGGGGACGCACGGGCCCTACTTATAGTCCGAAACTGGAGAACTGCAGCAAACGACTGAACGAACTGACAGAGACTTTTGGAGGAGGCCCAGTCTCGGTGACAAGCTGAAATTAAATAGCCTTATAAATTTGGTGCCCCCCCGGGTAACGACGTCATCTCCCCCCTATCTAAAAATAATTAAATTTATTTCTGAAACTTTTTTATATTTTGTAATATTAGAATTTTATTTCATTCAATATTTCTCTAGTATAGTTGCTTTATTACAACACGATAGTGTAGTTGCTTTATACAACATCCGTGCTGGGCTATGCGAATGATCTGGTACTGTTAAGCGAAAATGTGGAAACTATAAAACTAAATACTGCAACGTTAATGAATGCCAGTAAAGAACTAGGGCTCGAAATCAACACGGATAAGACAAAATATATGGTTAGCTGCAAAAATGGTGATATTACTGGTGATATCGAAATAGATGGTAATATGTTTGAACAGGTAGAGAAGTTTAGGTATCTAGGTTTTACGATAACTAGAAAAAACGAAATTGAAGAAGAGATTAAGGTTAGACTGAAGGCAGGGAATGCTGTTATTTTTCTATGACAAAACTACTTAGCTCGTGCCTCTTGTCTCGGAACTTAAAAATTAGAATCTGTAAAACCATTGTCTTACCTACAGTTCTTTATGGTTGCAAAACGGGGCCGCTTACATTAAGGGATAAGCAACGTCTTAAGGTTTTTGAAAATAAAGTATTGCGTAGAATATTCGGACCGAAGAAGGATGAATTAACCGGAGAGTTCAGATGGTTACACAACGACGAATTGCGTGAACTGTATCCAGGTAATATAATTGAGGTGATTTCATGCCGGCAAATCAAATGGGCTTGTAAAATTGTTAGTAACAAGAGAATTTCTAAAAGATAAATATTTGCCGTGACGAATGGTAAACGTCCGAGGGGTAGACCGAAGCAAAGGTGGGAAGATTGCATTAAAGCCGATCTGAAGGGACTAGATCTGGACAGCGAACGGTGGAGGGAGGTGTGTAATAAGTGATTGGTGGTGTCGGCATAGAACCTTCGGGCTCACTAAGCATTTTATTAGCAATATTATTATTATTATTATTACTATAGTTGCTTTATTAATAGGTTAAAATTAATTATTTTAATATGTTTTGAAGAAGAGAACACAGGAAAAGGAAAAACTTGAGAAGTTGCAGAATGCCTGGGAAAAGAAACAAACCAGAAAATTTTGCAAAGGAGTAAAGGACATAAAAACAAAATTCACTTCCAGAACTGGTTTGTGCAGAGGGAAAGAAGGAGATCTGATTGGGGAAGAGTAGAACATTCTCAAAAGGTGGAATCAATACTTTAGTGAATTGCTGAGCAAAAAAACATCTGAAGAAAGGAGCAACTTAAATACACACCTGGGTGAAGCAGAGGAAGGAGCAGAAGAAGTAGAAGCTCTGGAGAAGGAAGAAATAATTGATATCATTATGTAAATGAAGAATCATAAGTCGCCAGGTCTTGACGAGATGATTCCGGAGATGTTAAAATATGGTGACAGTGATCTGTGGGAGGAAATTTATGACTTAATTTGGGAGATATGGATGGAAGAAAAAATGCCAGAAGATTGGACAAGAGCAGCAATATGTCCAATACACAAGCAAGGAGACAAGCTAGTATATGAAATTATAGGGGCATTGCTCTATTAATTACAACCTATAAAATATTGGCAATACTCCTACTTAAAAGACTGACAGATTTTATTGAAACAATAATAGGAGAATATCAGGGACGCTTTAGGTCTTGAAGATCAACAGTTGACCAGATATTCTCTCTGAGACAGATAATGGAAAAAATTTATGAATTTAACATAAACATGCACATTCTCTTTGTGAGCTTAAAACAGGCGTACGACAGTGTATACAGAAAGGGACTTTTGAAATCTATGATAGATGTAGGCATAACCAAGAAATTGGCCAGACTTAAAAAAATGACGCTAATAAAGACTACCTGTCGAGTTAAACTTGCAAATTCGCTGTCCGAAGAATTTGAGGTGGATAATGGATTGAGACAGGCTGATCCTCTATCACCCCTTCTTTTTAATCTTGCATTGTAAGTGGCTATTCATTCTATTCAAACAAATCCAGCAGGAACAAGCTACAATCGTATGTCACAACATCTGGCCATTATCTCTAAAACCCACTTAGCATTATAATGGCACCAGTGCAGTCCAAGCCTCTAAACAGTTAGTGTGTAGCCTGAGTTTAATTAGTGAATTTAGTGGTTTTACAAGGAGAATTGTTGTACATATTAACCAGACTCATCTATTAAATGCGCTGAATCCACGGGTGAGATTGAATCTTAATTTCAACATGATCTTGTGCCGAGAGGAGCAAGAGAAGTACCAAGATTTCAGTCGGCTTACGGGTAGCAGGCTAGACATTTTAGTTGAGACTGGGAGTGGGGAGTGTATGCGTTAGATAAGGCCTAGTTCTAGCCTCTACTTATAAGTCAGTAACCCCAGTGTTCAGGTTGAGCTTAATCACTTTTTATCACACCATTCAACCTTTTTTTTTTATACACATTTTTATATATTTTGCATTTTATTTTTACCAGGCAAGATGGTTTCATGCCCTATTTGTGGACAGACAATTACCAGAGAAGACAAAAAAACACTGACATGCTCTATCTCTATATGTCAAGCTATTTTTCATGGTAAATGCCTTATCACAGACGAAGGTGAAATTGAAAAATTAAGGTCATCATAGAAGAATTGGGCAGGCCCGAATTGTGAAAAAGCCCAAAAAGTACTCAATTGAGCGATAAGTGCTCTAGCTCTGTCTCCTACGCCGCGTCACAGCTGCTTATGACCGCCATACGTGACCTAACGGCGGAGGTTAAAGGATTAAAATTCACCCTCGATGGTAATGCCAGCGAGGTAAAGGAATTAAAAATAACTCAGGAAAAGCAGACCAATATAACATTTGAAAATGCCGACAACTTAAAAGCAATAAAGACCCTTCTGGAGACCCAAAATTCGAAGTTGGAAGGAGTAATGATGGAAAATGCGACACTCAGAACCTGGATGTTGGAGCTTTGAACCAGACTCAACAGGTCCGAGCAAATGCACCTTTCCAGGTCGGTTGAAATAAGGGGAGTCCCAGTGAGGTCTGGGGAGATGCCCATGTGCCTGGTGATGGGCATGGGGGGGGGGGGGGAGGGTGGCTTGGGCCTGAACTTAAAGCCAGCAGATATCGGCTGAGCGGAGCGGATGAGATCGAGGCAGGGTGAAACATCCGGGTTGCTTCTGGTGAGATTCGTCAGACAGAAACTCAGAAACCAGTTGGTCCAAAGGCGGAAGGTTATATGGGACTTCTCAACTCATCACCTGGAATGGCAGGAAAATGAAGCTCACAAAATATATGTAAGCAAGGCAATGTCCGTATCCAACCGACACCTATATTGGTTAGCCCGACAGAAGAGGTCTGCAGGGAAGATCAGATACATTTGGTTCAATGAGGGCAAAGTGAAATGCCGACGATATGACGGTCAGCAGGTTGTCGTGATTAACTCGCCATCGGACATATTCGCATGACTTGTACTCACATGTTTCATTGCTCTGCACACTTTAGTTTTCATTTCTGTTTTTGCTCATTTTTATTTTTTTTTTTCAAGATTACAATTTAGTTGTTTTTGATTTAATATATTTTAATAATTATTTTATTTTTACTTATAAGAACAGTCTAAGTTTTATTCTTTTAGACATTGTAATATACATAAATACTGTTTTTTCCGATGTAGAGGTAGACCTTTCATTTACTAAATTGTATATCTTCTACTTTTCAAGGAGAATCTGGAAAATTAGTATTCTTTATTTCTTGTTTAGCATAATTTATTATTACACTCAAGATTCTTCTTAATAGAGCTGTCATCAACAATTATGTACTCTGGGCTCATACTAGTTCCAACCACTTCCACCATTTAATTAAAGTTTCTGAAACCTGATTAAAGCCCTCTATTCCGTCTTCCCAAATTACTTTACCCAATTATACCCTCCTTCATCATGACAGAGTGGATCGTACAGGTGGTGGGGTAGGTCTCTTAGTCCATGACAGCCTTAAATTCAAAATCCTGCATTGCTCTTCCCATACCGATTCTCCACACCTGGAATATCTTTTTACTGAAATCCTTATCCCATCATCCCCCCTTCTCTTTGCAGTCATTTATCGCCCTCCCAGAATTCCCTTTGATGAATCATTTGAGACTTCAATTTGCAACTTAATACCTTCCTACTCCAATCTTATCCTCTCCAGAGACTTAAATGCCAATTTAATGATACCATCTTCTGACCATTCCTACCTGACAAGCCTCCTCCAATCCCTCAGTTGTTATTTAGTACCCTACCACCCTGCCCATCATACCCAATTCTCAGAGTCCTGGCTTGATCTGTTTATCTTGGATTCTCTGGATAAACTCTTCGCAGCATCTTAGCACCCGGTTCTATTTCTGTCTTCCCATGATCTTACCCAGATTTCCTACAACATCCCGATCCCATTTTTTTCTCCTCAAACCATATCCTTCAGAAAACTCGATTTCCTCACTTATGAAGCCCTGTAGCAGGATCTCTACGCAACCCAATGGGACCTCATTTATTCCTTAAAATCCATTGACGCCATGGTAGAAATCCTTACCAACCATCTTCATACCATCCTCGACTGCCATGCTCCTCTCCTAACTAAAACCATCTGACATCCCCCTGCTCCTTGGCTGACACCCGCTCTGAGAGAGTGCATGAGAAGAAGAGATGCGGCAAGATGGCGGTTTAAACATTCCCAACTCCCGGAAGACTATATCAACTTCAAGCAACTTCGAAATAGCACTTCGTCTGCCATACTCCGAGCCAAATCCCGTTAATTTCACCATTCCTTATCCAACACCCCAAACTCCAAGGCCTATAATAAAATAATTGACCATTTGTAACGCAACTCAAGCCCAGCTCATTTCCTTTTCTGCTGATGACCTTAATGCTCACTTTGTCTCCTGTCCCTTCTCATCCTCATCTCCCGCGACTATACTGACTCCTATGTGTTTCCCTATAAATTTTAATCCTGATCACTTCTTTTTTTCCCATATTACACCTGATGACCTCCTCAACTCCACTCAAAAGTCGCAAACTAATGATTATGGCCCCCATAACATCCCAGTCAGACTGATCAAAGCCCCACTACCATCCATCCTTCCAATCCTCTACCATATCTACAATTACTCACTACGAAACGCAACCTTTCCTATATCCTGGAAATCCGCACTAGTTCGCCCTATAAAGAAGACTTCCAACCCATCAACTCTTAATGATTTCCGTCAAATTTCTCTCCTCTCAAACCTTTCCAAACCTTTAGAGCGACTAGTTCAAACCCAGTTATCCAATTTTTTAGAACAGAACAATCTCCTAAATCCCAACTAGTCCGGTTTCTGGCCTGGCTACTCCACTCTGTCTGCCCTCATCAAAATTTCTCAAGACCTTCATACTATACTCTACACTCTAAACTGGGCCTTAGAGTTAACGAAAATAAGACGGTAAATATGAAAAATTCAAAAATGGAAAAGGGATGAGTTCAGAAATAGCTTTAAGGGATCAAAACTTTAGGTTTGTTGACCAGTTCAAATACCTTGGAAGCCTGGTCACATACAATAATAAAATAGAGAGTGAAATAAATGTCAGGATTGCAGCAGGAAATAGATGGTATTTCTCACTGCAAAGAGACTTAATGTTCAAACCACTCTCTAAAAGAAACTAAATTCTCATATACAAAACCATGGTAAGACCAGTGGTTATGTATGGGTATGAGACTTGGACCTTAACCAAAGACTCAGAACGCACGCTCAACTCCTGGGGGAGGAAAATATTGAGAAGAATATGGAGCGGAATCTTTGAGAATGGAATTTGGAGAAGAAAGAATGAGGAGCTGCCGGAACTCTGGTGAACCTGATATTGTGGCATTGATAAAAAGAGCCAGAATCAAATGGTTAGGTCATGTGGAAAGAATGCCAAAGAAGATGCTGCATAAGAAGCCAGATGGCAAAAGAAGTAGAGGGCGCCCTTGGATCAGATGGCTGGAGGATGTTAAGGAGGATCTGAGGCAGCTGGGCGTTCGAAGATGGAGGGAAGTAGCACAAGACCCTGAAGATTGGTAGGCTGTAGTAGAGGAGGCCATTATAATAATAATAATATGTTTTGTACATATATGTTTTAAATTCTTAACATGTGGTGAGTGTCCTTGATGATCTGTGCCCTCAATGGGCACCCCTTAATCTCGGCATTTCAGGGTAATTGCCTTGGTTGCCTGGCCCTAAGGTCGCCACTGCATATTAATATAGTACAGGTGGTTCAATAATGGGGTTTTCAGTTGTTGTTTTTTTCAAATTATTTCTTTTATTTTAATATCAATTGTAGTTAATGTTATTCATGAGTAAAATAATATTAACTAGAATGAGCATGTGCCTGTTAATAATTTCTCATTTTGTTTTGGAAATACAAATTTATAATTACCTGAATAGTAGAGTTTTGAGTATTTTCTTTCTGATTTATATCTTCTACTTTTTGGTAAATATGATCAACTTTGTCAGTTGTTTGCTTAATTCTTTCATCAGTCGATTGTTGTAATTTTGACTCTTTTTCCCGAAAATATCCTTCTACACACTCTTCTTCAAAGTCATACAGTCGCTCTAAGTCTTCAGAATCCAAAAAGAGTTTTAAACCATTGTCATAAGTTTCTTGAACACCTTTCAGTTTTCTTCGAAGAAATTTAAATAATAAATAAATGTGGCAAAATGTTATTAAAGGGGGAGGTAAAACAGGTTTTTGTTCATATTCCATTACAACAGTAAATCTCTGGAACATCCAAACCTGAAACATAAACAATAAATTATTTTAAATGGATAGTACTGTTTATTAAATGGAACATAGGCGCAAACTACGAGGCGGGAGGAGAAGAGGGGATCGCGACTCCCAATCAAAATGTTGAGGGTTTAGAATATCGTTTCCCCCACTAATAATGGGGGGGGGAATTAAAATCAATAATAAATAAGCTACATCAATAAATTAAATGAATAAACTAAAAACGATTAAGAAAAGTCGACTAGCTGGCTAGGTTAGGGCCTAGGAATAGATATGCAACTATTGATACCTAAATGTTACTTTTATTTAAACTGTCATTTACATTCAAAGATAATAGTAGATATCAACATATTCCACGATTTTTCAGGATATGATTCAATAATCACTCAATTTTCACGTGATATTCTTATCATATTTTCTGCAGCAAAATAATCGTTCTGAGAAAAAAATATTTTTATTTGAGGTGGTAAACAATAAGAAATCAAAGATTTTGTTCAGGTTTTACCCTACCAAGCGAAGCAAAACGAGGGTTGTAGGTTTGGGCCGCCCATTAAAAGGATTGTAACAATTTTTTAAGCGAGCGGCTGGATAAATTTTTAAGTTTGATGGCTCAAATTTTTCGGTGAGATCCCTGGGCGTTTTGAATTCCTCTCTAACACTACGCAGTGTGGGGATGTTCTCTATAGAGCTTCACCCATGTGTCCATCTACTGTACCAGCTCTCTCCTCCTGCTCCAGCCCTCGCTTCCTGAACGCCTTCTTCCCAGGTGATCCGTGGTAATCTACCGTCCACTTTCGTCTCATAAGTTATCCTGGCAATTCTTTCCACGTTCATCCTTAGGAGGTGCCTGAACCATCTAATTTTATTCTCTCCCAGAGTGGTTTCTATCGGCTGAACCTCGAGGTTTGATCTTATTGTAGTGTTGCGGATCCTATCTCTCCTGGTCTGTCCCTCAACCTTTCTTAGGTACCTCATCTCAATTGTCTGGATCTGCCCTTTTTGTTTTGAGGTAAGTGTCCATGATTCAGAGAAGTATGAGAGGATTGGCTGGAACATTGACTTGCAGACGGATATCTTTGGTTTCTTCGTCACTTCACTCTTTTGTTGAGGAAACCTTTCCGGATTGAATGGAACATTCTACCAGCTGCTCCCAGCCTTTGGGACACATCTCCATCGATATAGCCACTTGTGTTGATAAATGCACCTAGATATTTGAAATCCTGCAGCTGTTCCAGGATATGTCCTTTCAACCTCAATATTCTCATAACACGGCGGGGACGTCTACTTATTCTCATGTATTTTGTCTTCTGTGGATTAATATCCATGTTAATGTTCGACAGCTTTTCTTGCATATTTATGTTGCATTGTAGGTCCTGGTCATCCGCAGCGAATATAAGGAGGTCATCGGCGAAAGCGAGGACTTTGTAGAAACTAGACTCCTATATCCCGGTCAAAAACGCCGCAGTCTGGGTTCAGCTCTCCTCACCGCTTGATCCAGTACCAGTATGAAAAGTAGGGGACTTAGGCTGCACCCCTGCCGTATTGCCTGCATCGTTTCAAACTCCTTGGATGTGTTGTTGCCAGTCCTTATAATATATCTGGTCTTTCGATAGAGACTCCTAACAACCAGGATCGTACCAATGACAACTTGTCTTTCAGACAGAGCTAGCTCTATATCCTCCTTTTTGACTCTGTCAAATGTCTTTTCAAGATCCACGAAGCTATGACCTGCCTCAAAGTGAACTCTCTATGTACTCCTCGAGTTTCTGAATCAATACTGCTCCTCTCAGATCTGGCATTCAACTACTCTTCTTACCCTTGCTTCAAGGATTCTTGAATAGAGCTTACTTGGCACACAGAGCAGAGACATGCCTCGATGATTATTGCATTCTCTATTGTCTCCCTTCTTGTAAACAGGTACTATCACAGCTATTTCCCAGTCCTTCGGTATCCTTTTCTTATGTCAAATCAAATATGAGAGATGGAGAAATATTTCTTCACCTTTACTGCCCATGTACCCCATCATTTCGGGAGTTATTTCATCAAGTCCTGCAGACTTGCCCAGCTTCATCTTAAAGACAACTTCCTGCAGTTTTTCCTGGCTGATAAAATATTGTCATTAATATAATAGGAAAATTGTAATTAATTACAATATACACCCTGCCACATGCAATTCGACCATCTGGATAATCTTTTCTCCTTATTACATATCCCCAGAGATCAAAATTTTCAGTAGGTTTTAAATTGGTTTCTTGTAGACAGGCTACAGAGCAGTTATAGTTAGTTACTGAGTAAATATTTTAATTCATCTCTACGGTGGTTTAAAGCATTTATATTCCACTGTAATACATTTATTTGATATAAAATGCTCTACCTACCTATATTGTCTTTCATTAAATGTTAGCTGATAAAAATTACAATAATGCTTATTAAAAATAATTAAAAAGGTTAATTATGGTATGAATATTGAAAATGATTTTTATAAGGTGATAACAAGTAGAATACGATTAAAAGAAACATTAATTAAGAAAAATTAAATAGAAATAGAAATATTTTATAAATTAAATATTCAAGCATAAAAGGACTGACAATATTAAAAGCCGTTCAATAATGTTTTATTATTAGATTTAAATGTATTAGAGTTGTGATTATGAAGAGGTATTAACAGTGACAGTAGTATAGGTAGTATGTTTAGTCAAGAATTCTTACCAACTTTGTTTTTTTTTGTTTTGTAACTTGTGTATTTTTCAAAGAAACACTTTGATCACTCAAGGAGGAATTTTGAGACAATGGGCGATTTCTTTTCAAGTTATAATTTAACATAGGTATATTTGATACAGTATCCGGTTTCTTTTTATTTTCATCTATTATCTTTTGTTCTTTAACACTAATGTTGACTTTATTTTCAGTTTGATTATTATTTTTCGGTAAAGAAACGATTAATTTGTCACAACAGTCGATCTTATTATCAGAATTAATTTTGTTTAAAGTAGATTCCATTATACTTATCTTTTTAAATAAAACTTCGACAGTGCTAGCTAATTTTGAGACCTGTTCAACTAAAGCATCTGTCAAAGATGTTCGCTCTTGCTCGGGAGTGGGGGCAGCCTGAGAGCATGAGCAGCCACAACCCCCCTGTGAGTTCTACCCGAGTCATTTACGTTGGGTAATTCTTCCGCCTCAACCTAAACTCTGCTTCACGACATGAAATTTTCTCCCGTGTTTTAAAACCATCTATCCTTTTCTCTCTCTCGTATACTGGACATTTAGAACTATAACCAGGATGACTACCAAGGCAATTCAGGCACTTAATTTGATCGTTTATGCAATTGTCAGAGCTATGTGAATTTTCTCCACATTTTCCACAATTAATAATTTTACAATGCTTTCTAAGTATGCCTATATTTATAACAAGAAAAACAAAGGAGTGACTTCGGTTCATAAGGTCCAATTTTTATGGACATGAAATCCAATAAAACTCTTTCAGGTAATTCATTCTTTTCAAATGTCAAAATCAGTAGCGGAGTGGCTCTATTTTCATTATTTATTTTTTTTTAGATTCTTTTAACCTTCACAACTCCGTGATTCTCAAATTCAGACACTATTTCATCTACAGGACAATTTAACAATTCTGGGACGTAGACTACCCCAATTGAAAAATTAAGTGATTTGTGTAATTCAAATTTAATCGGAATATTTTGGAACGTTTTTATATTTTCTAAATTTATAAAATCTTTTTCATTATTTACAGTCAATAAGATCGTACCATTTCTCATAAATTTTACAATCACATGTAGACCATGACCTTTAACAAGTCTGCAGACATTAAAAGGACTGAAGTACTTAAAAGTTTTATTACTCAGGTTATCACTTAATCGCATTATTAAATGTATCTTCGACCACTTTCCTTTATATTTAAATATATTCTCCTGTATGTCAGGAGGTTTTGGCTCCAATTTAGTGTCCATTAGATGAGACGAGAAATTAAAGATAAAAAGAAAAAATATTAAAACAAATGTAAAGAATCATATAAATAAAATGGAATAAGAATAGATGAAAAAAAAAAAAGAAATGAAAAAGGTACTCGCTGTAGACAATGAGAAGAGAAGTATACAGTACTGGTAATCCCCACTCACGATGTTCACTCTACGAATGGTAAACAACAACTGTGTTTTTCCTAAGCTTAAAAGATATATTAAATGAATTAAACCAAGTCCTAGTAACATTTTATGTATGTAGTATTGTCTCCACTCCTCCATTTTCCTTTAATACTAATTATATTTGCAAAGATTCCTAAGAAAAAGTCTAGACATTTGGGTTTTTATTTTTATAACATTATTTCACCGATGAATTAAAATTAAAAATTCATGCATTGGAATAATAATTTTAAAATCCCATTTAATAAGAAGAATAAGAAAAATAATAAAAATTTGAAAATCTTCAAACTATCCCACGTATAAGATAGATATTAAAGATTGGTAACAAATGTTTTATCATAAATCATTTATATATCACTCACCTGGTGAGCTATAGCATTAACTTCAATGAAAATGTTATTGAACACTGCTATCAGGAGATTAATGAGTAATATATTAGCAACTAGCAAATATGTTGACATTACTACAACAGTTATCCAACGACCAGTCTGACATGGTTCCATTCCAGGTTCATCACCACAAGGAGGATCAATTGAATCAGCAAACACCTTTAAACCATTAATAAATTAAAGAATATACACAAACACATTCACAATGATGGGGAAAAAATAATATTAACACAGTTTAGTTAACATGACGAAACTTCATCATTTTGCAATCACCAACAGCCAAAAGAAAAAACTTCGTCATTTGTATTACAGAAAATAATTGAATCTTCTTTGTTTGTTGAGGCTTTAAGTCATAAAACTTCAAGGTCATCTACTACGCCTGTAAATTACTTTTGTTTATCTCTGACCTAAATTTAATTGATTCAAGTTCTTTTAATTTTAAATAAATTAAATTCAAATTTTTATCATAAAGATATGCCACCATTTTGTGAATGGTGGTGCAATATATATACATATATATATATATATATATATATATATATATATATATATATATATATATATATATATATATATATATATATATTAGTTTGTAACCTCCAGTGTGTTATCGGTTAATGACATGTGGTTGGTATAGTAATTGACACTTACTATTTACTACTACAGTAAAAAGACATGTAATTTAATTATTTTATACAGGCATTGTTATTATCTCTCTATATTATTTATTGTAAATGTTTCATTTTGATTTTACGTATTTGGTTTTTTTCTACAGACAGAATAAAATTATGTTAAAATTAGAGATCGACCGATATCGAAATTTTGGTCGATACAGATATTAAAAAGGCCGATATGACCGATATATCGGCCTTTTTCCCCCTTTTCTTTAAAGTTTGTACAGTTTAACATGGAATATCCTACTCATTGCTAAATAAAAGAATTAATAGACCATCTACACATCGCCTTATACACAAATTTTGATCGATAAAAAAGAGATAAACCAATATTTGAGCATATCCTCCTTTCGTCCCATATATGTCAGGTTCCGTACATCGTCGCATAGAACATTCTCGTAATTTAACCAGATTAGTAGAGTTTAACTATCTTTTTTTTTTGTTCCTGGTTTTTAAAAAAAAGTATATTACTCCCAATGGATCGATATATCGGCCATACAATTTTAATTTATTTTAAGAAATCGACATAAACATAAATTTTAGCAGATTCCGACATTCTAAAGACGAATATATCGCCCTGATGACCTTATTTTATTGAGATTGTTAAAGTTTTACCAATTTGTATTAATTTATTAATTTTGTTGTGTCCCATTGGCCTAATTCGAGCAGATAACAATATTTTAAACACTGATATATCGGCCTTACGATTATATTTTATTGAGATTTAAAATTGGAATATCATTTTTATTGCTAATAAATGTTTTAATCTAACGTCAAGAGATCACAAAAATATAGTGTTTTTGTATTCCTATTGAACTGATATATCGTCCTTACTACTTTATTTTAACAATATTCATAAAGTTTAATTTGGAAATTATTTTTATTGCGAATAAATATGTCAATTAATCTTCAAGAGATAGAAATAAAAATAAATTTGATCCAAGAACGATATATGGGCCTTGTGAGCTTATTTTATTGAAATTGGTAGATTGTTCTTATCACGATAAGAAGATTTTACCTTTTTTTTTTTTTTTTTTTTTTTTTTTTTTTTTTTTTTTTTTGGTTCTTAACTTCCTCTCATTTGAGCAAATAGCGATATTCTAAATACCAATATATCAGTCTTAAGACCATATTTTATCGATATTAAAACTTTTATTATTATTATTTTTATTGAAGAGAAGAATGGCTGGGGTGATCAGTAAAAAAAAATGTAAAAATATATTAGTATATTGATTTTTATTTTTGCCGATGTTTCGGCCCTAAGTTCAGACCTTCATTAGGGCTAAGAAAAAAACCATAGATATGAGAAACTATAAACATTAAATAATAAATAAAAACATTAATATGTAGATAAAAGGTATAGTCTAAAAAATGTAGGTAGAATAAACTTAAAGTAAAATAAAGTAGGTAGAATAATAACAGTAACAGAGAACTAAGAGGTAAATAATAATGGCAACAAGGTAATGACTAATGAAATAAACATAATCAAAATAAGGTAACATAAGAAATGAAAAATAAATTGGCAACGAAAAGTAATGGAATGTATGAGATAAAAAAAATAAGTATAGAGATAAAATAAATGGGGTGACATAATTACTAAATTATGACGTAATAGTATGCTGAAAGGAAGTGAGATAATCATAAAATAAAATATCAAACAGAGAAATTCATAGAATAAAATCAAGATCAAGATAATCATAGAATAAAATGTAAAACAGAGAAAAGGAATATGAAGTTATATAAGGAAATACTACATGTAAATAGAAAATTGAGAAACTGTAAAATCTATCAAAACATACTGATTACGTATAAGATAATAAAAAGTTAAAATGATGTAAATAAGATGTAATGAGCAAATGTATCAATATACACAAAATAGAGGCGAAGATTTGGAAAAGAAAGTAACTAGAAAAAGAAAACAGAGGAGAAAACTTAGATAAGAGAGATAGACACGCCTGGTCCAAGGAAAGGATTCCGCAACAAAAACATTGTTATGGTAAGAAAGAGTAGAACTGACGTAGCACCCTCTGTAACGGTTAACTGAAATACGTGAACTAAAATTTATTATTGTTATCTGTTTTTTCTTAGCCCTGACGAAGGCCTGAACTTTGGGCCGAAACATCGGCAAAAATAAAAATAAACATACTTATTGATTTTTTCCTTTTTTTTTTTTTACTGATCACTCCAATCATTCTTCTTTTCAATTATTCACAACAGTCAATCATCAATCCACAATTATTATTTTTATTACTTATAAATACATCAATCAATCGTCAAGAGATCGACATAAACATCAAATTGAACAATGGCCAATATAATGGCCTTACGATTTTATCGAGATCGGTAGACTTATACATTTGTTTTTATTAAATTTTAGGTTTTTTTCTTACCGGCCTTTCCTAATTCGAGCAGATAGCAGTATTCCAAACACCGATAAATCGCCCTCACAACCATATTTTATGAAGATTGGTAGATTTAGACTTTTTTTTTTTTATCCTCTTCTTACATTTTTTTTTATATTTTGTCTTCACCTATGACCGATATTTTATCGAGAACGTTAGACAATAATATTTTTTTTAAATTAATTTATTATTATTATGTTTTTTGGTTCCCTCCTTCCCCTAATTAAAGCAGATACCGTTATTCCAAACACCGATATATCCAAACTCTACCAATCTTGTTAAAATAAGGTCTTAAAGCCGACAAATCAGTATTTGGAATATTCCTATCTGCTCAAATGAGGAAAATTTTCATTAAAATAAGATCATAAGGCTGATATATCGGTATTTAGGATATTCGTATATACTGAGAATCTGAGAAGAGGATGAGTGTCATAAGACCGATATATAGGTCTTTAGCATATCTGTATCTGCTGAAAATCTGTGGAAATGGATGACCAGAAGGACAAAATAAAAATAATTAAAAATAAATAAAATAGTAAAATTCTTCCAATCTTGATAAAAAGGAGTCAGGTAATGCCATTAAAAAAAATAAAAATAAAAATTGGTCCAATTCTACCAATCACATTAAAATAAGATCATAAGGCCGATATATCGGTATTTAGGATATCTGTATATGCTGGGAATCTGAGAAGAGGATGAGCAAAACAAAAAAACTAGTCAGTCAATCTACCAATCTTAATAAAATAAGGTCATAAGGCCGATAGATCGGTCATTGATCAAATTTATGTTTATGTTGATCCCTTGACGAATGATTGACGCGCTTATGATTAATAAAAATAATATTCCATCGAAAACTCTACTAATCTTGATAAAATAAGGTTGTGAGGCCGATATATTGGTCTTTGGAATATCAGTATTTGCGCAAATTAGGTGAAAGGGAGGATCGGAAAAAAAATTAAATGAAAATTGGTCCAACTCTACCAATCTCATTAAAATAAGATCATAAGGCTGATATATCGGTATTTAGGATATTCGTATATACTGAGAATCTGAGAAGAGGATGAGCGTCATAAGACCGATATATAGGTCTTTAGCATATCTGTATCTGCTGAAAATCTGTGGAAATGGATGACCAGAAAATTGGGTAGTGGTGCACAAAAAAACAAAAAAAAACAAATTAAATTCTACAAATCTTGACAATATAAAGTCATACGGGAAGAGGGGGGCTAGAAAAAAGAAATTATATAAAAATTTGTTGAACTTTACCAATCTCATTAAAATAAGACCACAAAGCCGATATTTCAGTCTTTAGGATATCCGTATCTGCTGAAAATTTACAGAGATGAAGGGGAAAAAAACGATATCTCGGCAAATCAACGTTTAATACCGGCCGAAATGTCGAAATTAATATTGGTATCGGTCGATCTCTTGTTAAAATAATCTTTATATGTATATATATATATATATATATATATATATATATATATATTATATATATATATATAAATATATATATATATATATAATCCATGAATTAATGGAAATAAACATTTATATATAAAGATTGATCTTACTGGATCTTGAACGCAAGAGAAGTAAGAGATATCCTCATCTGTTATGTTGTTGTTTTTTTCATTAAAATAAAAAAATATTCAAGAACACAACCTCATTTTTTCCTATCTTTATCAGATTAAATGAATTCAATTTTCTTTTGAAGGTTTAATTTTCTTTAGTGGATAATTAATTAATTCTAATGAACTGGAAACAAATAACTTCTTTAGTGACATTTATTCAGTTTTAGAGTTTCTCTCGTACAGTACATTTTTACCACTTTATTATATAAACATTTATATTAGTATTTCATATTCCATATATTAACATTTCATAGGCAATACTACATATTCTCCCCAGGTCACACCATAGTGAAATCAGTAAAAGCTTTATCGAAGTGATGGTTAGTTAAAATAGCGATAAATTTAACATTGATGGATGAGGCAGTTGAGTTGAAGTAGTGGGAAGGACAGCTTGCTTATTGCCAAGGTAATCATATCAGCCACCGGCCAAACAGCTATGTTATTATTAT